CCACATCCCCCAGCCACCACTCACATTTGCTCTTTCACTCTAGTTCCCAGAGAAAGCTCTCTCTCCCAAAACCTGTGAGGCTGCATGTGTCATCTGCATTTCAGTCTTAGACCTCACTTTCCAATATTTCTGAGCATCAAGCAGATATGTGGATGCCAGCCTTTCTAAAATATTCTCACGGTCTTCTAGAATATTCCTATTGATCTCATTTTATCAAATATCAGCACAGGAAGCATGAATCTTGTTGCAAATTACTGCAAAGAGAAAGCTTTATTTCTTTAACTGGTTAAAATGGATTATCATTAAAGTGAAAACACAAAATCAATATTTTCCTAGAGTAACACGAAATTAATTTTCTCCACACCTGGGAGCCCAAAGCCTCCTGTAACATGGTGGATCATCACCTCCCTGCGCGTGGGAATCACCTGTGCCTTATCTTAAAAGGCCTGTGCTCTTGGCCGCTCTTTAATTGGTCAGGTTGGGCTTTCCGTTTTCCTTTTTGAAGCTCCCAGGTGACTCTTTTGCAGCCAGGATGAAGAACACCTAGAAGTCTTTGATTATGTGTTGGCCAGTCCTTGGACCCTTGATGCCGATGGGCAGGGGCGGCCTGTGCCTGTAGGGATCAATTGCAGGGTGTGCGTTGGATAGACATGAAGCTGACCTTAAGTAGCACTGCTGCCCTAAGGTCAAGGCCCCAGAGTTCTTCAAGAGTCCAGCCTTCTGGGAGCTTTAGGATCTGCAGCCAGACCATGGTCCCACTCCCAAGGTTGCTTCATTCACCTTAAAGCAGCTGACTTAAGACTTGAACCTCACAGTCCATAGTACGGTTGACTTTCTTGTTAGAGCCTGAAAACATCAACAAGAGGAAGGAGAGCTGTGGGTCATTGCTTCCACTGGACATGGGAGAAGGCTGTGGCTCAGGGGAGCAGACACCCTTTGTGCAATGTTGTCTGCTTGGCTAGACTCCTAACTGCTAATTCAGGACCTGCTTTTATTGCCTCCAACCAAACTGGTTCTGAGCTTTACATTAATAAACTGAAAATTACCCTGTGTTTCTCATGGTGGAAATGAGATGATCAATGCATAAGTACTTCAGTTATTGCTGCATACAGAGAATTTTTCTCAGGTTCATGACCGTTAGAGGGGAAGAATAGTGCAAACCAACTTCTCAGGGAAGTCATCAGATAGAACAGGTATATTAACTGCATTTATAGGAGTGGGAGGCGTTAGCATGACCACCTCAGCTGAGGTCCTGGAGGACAGGTGAGGTCGTTCAATGCTAGTGTCTAGTGTGCATGTCACAGTGTGAGACTGCAAGGCCCAAAATTCAAGGCCTGGACTCTCAAGGTGTCAACCAGACCCTTATACTTCTGTGTATTTGCAAATCCGGTAGTTGAGGCTGGTAATTTATAGGTGGAGTTCTAATAAGATGTGGTGTCACATACCCAGGGGAAGGAGAGTTCACACCAAGTTCTCACATCTAGGGTCTGGCAGGATGCTGACCCTTGAAGGGAAGGGGAATACAGTTCAGAACAAAACATCAAAGGCCAGATATGTGTTTGGAATCATTTCAAACATATATAAATATACAGGATATTTTCATTACTCCAAAGACTCTATTCCTATACTCTATTCTGAAAAAGAATCTGAAAGACTCTGTTCCTATACTCTATTCTGAAAAAGGCATTGCTTTTGTTAGTAAAAATGAAACGAAACAAAACAAAAAGCAAAGCCAAATCAAACTGGTCCCACGTGGCCCTTAAATCTGAAAACTTAATCAGATTTGTCCAGGGCTGCGTGGACAGGACAGGTCTGCTCTATGCTAACCACAGAGCACCAGCCTCCATGTCTCTCCAGGTCCTTTGTCTGCGCCCTGTGTCTACAGGGTGCAGTGTGAATGTTAGGAAGTAGATGCTCAAACACGACACGGATCAATAGTCAAGGCTCATGGTAGTGATAGTAAAACCTGCTTTCTCTGCCTTCCTGGGAGTTTTGGCCAACTGCATGTCTGGTACAAGGCCACATGTTCCCAGAAATAAAATGGGAGCATAGGGCAGAGGCCTGACCTTGCTCCAGTTTGAAGACCCCCTTGGCTGCCTGCCCTGACCCTGGAGCATATGGCCATCCCTGCACCTGGTCAGGACCTAGGTCACTCTGAGGCTCAGGGCAACACCTGGGATGCGTGCTAATAGTGTGGCCCACTACCTTGGGGAGTCTCCCCAGCTGGCATGCTCCCTGCACAGCTGTGCACTCTTCTCTGCTCCTTATTTTAAAATCATTTTCCAGAAGTTATCACCTATATGTATTAGTATTTATTAGTATTAGCAGAGTGACTGTGGTTGACCAGGAAGCAGGAATTTTACTGTGGACCCCAGCCACACACCCCCAGTTATAGCTGGATTCCTCCTACCTACATTCCCCAGGGCAGGGCTGGTGTCATGCACTTTCCTCTGTCCCCGGTACCTGGCACAGTGACAGGTTCAGAGCTGCTGTGTGATTTAAGTGTTAGCAGAACATTGCATTGTTGGTCTTTTGCCAACACGGTGGTGCCATACCCAGCCAGTGCCTTGTTATCTCTTGCTTGGTGCCTTCAGGGTGCTGAGTGTCCCCTGCCATTGCCACCACCTTTGTCACGCTCTGTACCACAGTTTTATTGAGCCCTTGCTGGCACAGTGCCCTGAGCCATTGTTACTGAACCCAAGACTGTTTACTTACCATTTGAAAAGGGGCCTGATGAATTGAGGACAGCTTGTTGGGCCAAGGAAGAAGATCTATTCAGAATGCCAGGGCAGTGGTGGACTAAAGTGTGAAAAAGGACCATCTTGACTCAGCAAGTTTCAAACTCCTTTTATCCTTAGGCAAGGGCAAAATGGAAGGGGCGTGGTCTAGTGACTAGAGATTTCCAGGTGCATCTCCAGCGGCCTTGAATGGAACACTGCAAACCTAGCGGTTGGTAGTTCATTGATCATGATGCCCCTGTAAATCTTTCAAATGTCTTAAGTACTCTTACGTTAGTGTCTTCAGTCTTGAAAGGCTAGGAGAGGGATCAGGGAAGCTTTAAATATAAGGCGTGATCAAAATACCCAGTGAATGTTTAAATTTAAAAGTTTATTAGAGTAAAAGATACACTGCCATGAACTGCTCTTAAAATATACTCCGTGCTTCTAACACATTTATCTCGTCATTTTTGCCACTTTCTAAAACAGTTCTGGAGGTCTTCTTTAGCTAATGTCTTTACAAGCTATGATAAATACAGTGAGTAGTGCTGCCGAGCACCATCCCATGGAAAGGCAGGCTGGTAAAAACATTGTGTGTCTTCATCCACCTATTCACCGAGTAAAAATCAAAATGACTATGAGAGGTACATGCTTTGAATTAATTCAGGTTATTGAGGTAGCCACAATGGCATAGCTCAAAGACACTCATGAAAGGGAATTTCAGATCTGCTTGGGAAAGTGGCAAGAAGGTGGATATTTTGAGGGGAGTTAATAACAGTGTGTCTTTTATTGTAATACCGTTTTAAAAAAATTTTTTTTAAACATTTACCGTACATGTCTTGTAAATCAATGTTCCAGACAAGCATTCCTTACATGACTAACATATCCATGTGCAAAGTTGAGCAGACACAGTCTGACCTGAAGGTAGTAAAGGAGACAGACACAATCTGAAGGAAGAGGTGCCAAGCTTTTTCATCCTGCCTTTGTCACCTATCAGTTATATTAGGGCCATGTAAAGAGTCAGTGTTTTTGACAAGGGCAGTCTTCTAGACCCTGAAATGTAATTCAGGGCCTGGAAACTGCCACCATCAAAATCTACACATTGGAGTTGTCATCCACAGCAAAGCTAATGAGAGACTATGAACATTGCTCAGCTGGGGGACCTCCAAAATTAGTGACTGTTAAGGGCAAATACTAAAAGCAAGTGAAGCGAGAGTGTTTAGTTTTTCTCTAGTTACACTGCGAGGCCTTCTACTAGGGCAGCTCCTTCACCCCTCCCATAGCCCTGCATCCAGTGACAGTCTGGAGTCCACTTGCATTCAAGTTTAAAGATCCATGAAGCTTGACCTGGCATTGCTGGTTAGAAACGGAAGCTTGGGACTGGAAGTGCCATGGTGGGATGTGAGGCTTGGTGACCAGGAGGAGACATGCTTCTGGGAGGTGGTGACCTGGTCAGATAGTTTTGACCTAGACTGCTCCATCTTGAAAACACCCTTTCCTCCCAGGATCTGTGTGAGTGAAACATGGTGACAGAGGATTGGCTGAGGGCTCTCCATAGCTCCAATTGCAGTGCATTGATCTGGAAAAGTCCGTCCCCAGCGGGGGCCTGTGCTGTGCACTCTTCCAAACCCATTCCTGGACCCTTCTTGGGCTCCCACCATGCTCTGCAATGGTTCCTGTCTGGCCCTGGAGACCCCAAGGCAGTCCTAGCCATGAGTGGGGGCTGGAAGACTGCAGTGCTCTGTGCATTTGCCCACCACAGAATCTCTGGATTCTTCACCAAGAGCCAGGGTCACAACATGGTCCCATGCCACCCAAATCTATCACTTTCAAAAGGCACGCCACTCCAATATCTGTCCTTGATCCAGCTCCATCTTCCGGTGAGATAGGGAGGAGTGTGACAGTGGGGTCAAGGCCCGCCCCTCCATCCTGATGGGAACATGAAATCACTCTGTGAGTCTGGACCACTAACTCTGCCTGTTTGTGCCTCAGTTTCTCACTGTAAAATGAGGGGTCAGGGGCAGAATTCCTGCAGAGGTCTTCGACCATCTATTCTTTCTTTCTGCTTTGAAACATCATGCTCTCAGAGAAAGACAAAACAGTGAGCCCGGGACCAGGAAAGCTGGGGAAAAGTGGTGGGTGACCAGAACCACAAATGTACAGAAGTGCTCAGGACGTTTTTAATTGTTTAGTTTCCAAATGTCAATACAGACAGTAGCTGACATCTGAGGTAGACACAGTGAATAGATAGATGCAGCAGAGGACTTAGTTGGTGTTAAGTGATCATATTGTGTTTGGCGTTTCACAGGGCGTGAGGGTGAGCAGAATGTCTTCTCTCACAGCATCTTCACTACAGAAATTGTATCTGTGGAGAAAAGCAAATGTTTGGGTGACCGCGGGAAAGCCATGATGATCTGAGGTTTCCAGCAGAGGTTAATATGATTTATAATTTTCAAGGGACAAGAAAGCACTAGGGCTCTGGCTTCAAGCAGTTACTGGAGAACTGGTGCCTTAGGCTTCCAGTCTGAGGGAACACCTGGGTCCCAGGACAGTGTCTTCTCTTGCTGTAGAGTGGCCCCTTGTGAGGTCCTGTGTGTGGCAGGACGGTGGCCTCCTGAAGCAGCCACCCTCCTTTTTCTCATTCCTATGGGTCTGTGGTAGGCCTCGGTACACACAGCTGACTGGTTTACAGATGGTCCCTTGCTCTTCCTTAGGCCTGTCTTGGAACCCAGCTGAATGAAATACTGAGCTCTTAGTAGTGAAAGGCAACTTTGCTAAATGATCCCCCTGTATGAACCTCACCCCCACCATAAGCATGTGAGAAGGTCTTTATTTTATACCTCACAGCAGAGGAAACTGAGACAGAGAGACTGTCAGTTAATAAGAAGAAGAACAAGGCTGCAAAAACAGGTGCACCTGATGCCATAGTCCAAATTTTCTATGGTGGGGTCACAGGTCAAACCGCCCTTGACTTTGTCTTTCAGATCTGGAGTCAGGGGCCCTGGCTTTTCCCTGGGTGTCCTAGGCCTCTGCCACCTTCTACCTGTGAAACAGGCCCATTCCTTGATGCCATCTGCATTTGCAGAAGAGGGTTCCTTCTTATGATTGTTGAGAATCTCATGGCAATAATTCAACTTCCCACAACAATAAGCATAAACCACTTAAAAATTAATCAAAACACTGCAGATATAAACAGTGGTTATTATGGCTATTCAAGAATGGTGGGCTTTTCTCCTCGCCTTACCATCTTTGAAGGCTCTTCCAGTGTTGCATCCTTTACTTCTTTGAATTTGTTTTTCCTAGAAGTCTGCCCTAGCATTTCTCCTGTGCCCTGCACCCTGCCATCCTGCCACCAGGCAGCCTGGCCTCCTCTGTCCCACACATCCCTGTGCCTGCTGCCTCTGCCTTTGCCCTTCCTGCCTTGCTCTACGTGACTCCCCAGCCTCCAGGGCTCCTCCTTCATCTTGGCCTCCTTTGGGCATTCTGCTCTGCTCCTGGCCTCTCTCTTTGGGCCCATAATGGTGAGCTCTTTATTCTATCATGTGACCTTGGGATGCCCCAATCCCAATTCAATTCAAGAATTGAATCTCATTTCAATTCTTGAAATGAGAAAATCATTCTCATTTTTCTCAACAGATAAACTATAAACTCCTGGAGAGCAGGCTCTGTGTTTATACCTCCTACTGTTTTCCAGACAGAGGATAGGTATTTAAGAAGTCATTTACAAAAGTACTTTACTGATGGATACTTAAGAAGTTCCTGGGGAAATAAGGAAGGAAGGACCACATTTCTCTTTTGGTCTGTGTCACTGGAAAGAATTCTGATCAGCAAGTTCCTGCATAGCATTTAAAACCCCAGAAAGGTGACTAAAACATCTGAGGGGCAGTCGAAAAGAGGCTGGACCAAATAAATGGACTTTCTTTGATTTTGCACTTATTACTTCTTAAAATATTGTTGGTCATTTGCGTAGTGACAAAATATCTGAATAATTTGCATAATTGAGGTTTTTTTGATTGTTCAGTCTAGCTTGTGATTTATGAAGCTGGTTTTGGCTTTCCAATATTTTAAAAGTTTAACATTGACATCGTGCTTCTCTGAAGAAAGGTTCTCTGTGGAGTCGATGGGCAGGGGAGGCTGCACTCAGCTACTGGAGGGTTTAGGTGGCAGCTGACGAGCTCAGGGCCTCAGAGGTGGCTTCAGCTACATCTGTTCTATTTCTAGAAAGCTTAGAAAGTCTGGACCTTTCCTTAGCAACCTGGAGAGTATCATGTTCTGGCCTCTTTGGTTACCTGCTTCTTACCTGTAAGAACTCCTTTCCTGAGACCACCTCTCATTTTCAAGTCTCAAGATGTTCCCTTCTTATGCAATTTTATCCACAAAGCCCCAGGATTCAGGCCCAGGGACATTACCTAGTGGAACCTTGGGAACTGACATTAGAGGCTGTGTCCTTGAGTGAGTCCCAGGAGAAGAGGCCTTGGCTGTGCCTGAGGCCTGCCTGGGGCCCTCCATTGGCCAGGATGGGGCTTCTCTGAGCTGTCCTTTAGCTGTTAGGACTCCTCACTCCTGATTGCACTGACCACCTGGCTTGACAGCCTCTCTGTCCTTCCATGTCATGCGGACAGGGAGGACACCAGAGGGCACACCCTCCATGCTGCTCTGTCAACCCTCCCTGTTTGCTTGGAAGAGTGACATTCCTGGGGACCTGAGCTTGGTGGCCCTACCTACTTCCTGAACTTCAGGACCACCCATGACTGAATGCCCAGATCTCCTTCCCACAAAGCCACATGAGAAATGCCCCGCTGGCCAGATTAGGGGTGGAACTTCGCTCTGTCCTTCTCAGGTCACTACCCAGACCTCCCTCCAGGTGCCGCCTTTCTCTGCCCAAGGCCTGTGCCTGCTCAGACACAAAGCAGTGGAGGCCATGGGTCAGGATGACCATCCCACAAATGTCACCACTTCAGTGCTTTCTTGTCCTATGTCAAATTTTCTACCTTTTGTTGAAACTGATTTCTTTTTCCTCCATCTATTCTGAAATATCACTGATCTCTCCCCTTAGAAATGTACTTTCTAGCCCACACTTAACCTTTTATCCTTCAGAAGTGATTTCTGCATTTCTTTTTATTTGTCCTTGCATGTTAGGCCATATTTTCTATATCCGCATAGGCAGTGCTGAGAATACCAGTAAAGTACACCTATAGAAAAACTACCTGCCTTCTGTCAACTGGTTGCTTGCCTGGGGAGGAAAAACCAGGGATAGGCAGATTTTCATGGCTTAACTGACTTTCTGCAGTGAGTTTCCACCACAGGCACGAATCTGTGCAAACACTCAGAGACACGACCAATGAAGACACTTACACTGTCTGTTCCTCTCCCTTTTGCACCGTGATCTTGGCTGCACCCACTTTGGGGAAAGTTGGGTTTACCACCTTATTATTCCACAGAAACTTGACTTTCTCAATAGTTCCAACATCAAGCTCTGCATCAAACTCCGAGGAGAGGGTAGAGCCTGGCTTGATGATTCCGCTGGAAACAAAAAAATGGAAACATTTTTGGTCATGAAAGTTCATCTAATGATCAGACCAGGCTCCATAACTCTTTTCTACTTTAGATTAATAGAAGTCAGCCTGGTGCTGGGGTGCACCCCTGTGATCCCAGCACTTGGGAAACTGTGGCAGGAGTATTGCTGAGTCCTGCCTGGGTACTTTAGTGAGACTCTGTCTCAAAATAAAAATTTTAAAAAAGGGCTGGGGATATACCTCAGTGTGAAGGCCCAGGGTTCAATCCCCAGTACTATAAAAACAAAAACAAAAACAAAAAATAAACTTCTTCTTTCAATTTAATCCTCAAAAACAAAGAAATGGAAAACTCAGCTATATGCCCACTGCCTCAAACCATTACTTAAGGATTTGTTATGGGTTAAATATGAAGTGCTCCCTCAAGACTTATGCATGGAGGGCTTGATTCCCAGTGTACCAGTGTTCAGAGGTGGGGCTTAGAGTGAGTGTTATTCACATCACAGCCACTTGGAGTTTTAGAGGATAGGGCCTAGCCGGAGGAAGTAGGTCATTGGAACTTGCCTTGGAAGGGTATATCCTGTTCTCTGCCCCTTCCTCTCTCTTAAGCTGCCTGTGCTTCCTGGATTCCCCAAGGTGAGCACCTTTGTCCCATCACTCCCTTGCAGCATGATGTTTCTGCCTGGGACCATGGACTGAAACCTCTGAAATGATGAGCCAAAATACACCTTTCCTCCCTTAGGTTGTCCCATTGACAGAAAACTGACCAATACATGATTGTTTTTCAAACTCAAACTAATCCTTCTCCAAAAATTCTTATAGAAAGTTATATAATTCTTCCATACTATCTTTTTCTAGAAGATTTATTTGTACAGTAACAAGTTAGTCACTTAACACATGTGTTATTGTGCTAATCAGGATAACAGGATATCTGGGGTACATTAGATTTTTAAAAATCTGATCTACTGAGAGAGAAAGAGCTAAATGGTTGGATTTAGTTTTGGGAAAAGAAAAGTTATAGGTAAAGTTCTGAAATGGCTTCAGTATATAAATAATTAAAAACCCATTGATGAGAAATGAACTACCTGCTTTGAAGGTCCTGTATATTATGAGATGTGGTACGGAAATAGAAATTACCTGAAGATGTCATACTGGTGAGTGTTTCCTTTGTTTCCGAACAAAGCAACTTTGACCTGACCGGTGACCATTTTTCCAGACAGTGTGATGGAAACTCCGTATCTCCAGCCTGCACAGAGCATAGAAGAGTTCAGTCTATCCATGCACAAAATGGGTGACCCAAACCCAAGATTGCTGTCCTTGTCCCTTACGTGAAAGCATTCAAGGATGAGAAATCCCACTTATTAGTTCACACCTTAGATTCAGTCTGAAGGGGGAAGTACACATCCAGTAGCAGCCCACTCTATACCTGAACTGCCTGGTAAGACATCACTAGCCACAGTGACCACTTACACTTAAATTCAAATGAAATTAAACATTTAGTTTCTCAGGTTCACTAGACACATTTTCAGTACTAAACTGTCATGTGGATGAGTGGTTTCTGGATGTGACAGGGCAGAAGACCCCCATCATTGCAGAAAGCTCTGTGGGACAGCTGTGCTCCGGAGTGACAGTGCTATGAGCTTAGGTGACAGGCGGTTCCAGTGTGTGTCCAGGAAGGTCTCTCAGGCATTCTGTCTGCAGAGCACCCTGGGGCCAGGGTCTGTGTGTCATCTCTGCATCCCCAGTGCCCCAGGAAGGCTCCAGTACAGAGCAGGTACCCAGGCTGTTGTCTCCTAGCTTTATACTCGGTCTGCTGCCCTGGAGCCTGTGTGAATAATCCCTGCCCAAATACATCCCTGTAAATGATACACATAGAACCACACCTTTACACACACATAATTACTTATATACACACAAACACTATTGCACACACTCAGTGCATGCATTCACACAAAGAATCATATATAAACTTGCATGCACACACTTGCACATGCACACACATATGTACATAACTGCCCACCTTTGCCTAACTCCTTCTTATCTTTTTTATCCTCAGAGGCATTGTCCCTGCTCCTCCCTCTGGTCAGGGTCGGGTCCCCTGTCCCATAATGCAAAGGCCGCAACTGCCAAGCCCTATGCACTTGTAGTCGCTCAGTTTCCTTTTTTGCTGAATTATGAATTGTATGAGTAGAGTGTCTTCTTCATCACTGAGTCTCCAGTGTCTGGCAGCCCAAATCTGTGCCTCATAAATAAATGCAGGTTGAGGAATAAATACATAGTTTTTGAATGTTTACTTTGTTGTTGTTAAAATATGGGCAAGTATTTCATGCATCACTACATTGGTGGATGGATTGATTAACCAATGTCTTCTTATGAAAAATTTTGTGTATATTCATATATATTTACAGTGATGGAAATGCTCTGCATCTTGATAGTGGAAGTAGTTACACATCTATTTATTTGTCAAAAGCTCATAGAACTATGCACTAAAAAGGATGAATTTGCTGTATATAAATTATACCTCAATAAACTTGACTTTAAAAGCCATATGAGACATGTATTATTTTTATATATCTGTATAAACACACAGCCTCTGTTTTGCTGAGCAGCACCTGGTGGAACTGTCAGAGGCAAGTTGTCAAAAAGTGCCACATACAGCTTTTTCTCTGCCTTGTGTCCTAGTCGAGTCTCTGTGGCTTGGAGAGAATTCACCCCTCCCCGTGACTCCTACCCACTCTCCCGGCCTCAGAGATGTGTAGACATGAGGGAAGGTAGAGGTGGGCTCTTTAAGGGCTGCAGTCCTAGAAAGATCTAGTATGAACTGAGTTTGCTAAATGAATAGCTGATGTATAGACAATATTTTAAAGAAAAAGAACAATGAGATGCAGAATGGTAAAAATCCAGGGTGAGTGGTCACAGAGCCGTGGCAATTGCCTAAATCCTGTTAATCATACCATTCACTTCCCCTCATTTCATGACATAGAATTAAATGGAAAAAAATGTAGGTTATTTCTAAATCCTCAGTTGAGTTTCAGAGCCGAGGATGTTTGGGTGGATGTGTCCTTTCCTAAGACGATCCAAATGTGCCCACAAACACTTCAGGTTAGAGGCAAGCCTTTCATTTGTAACGGAAACTACATTTTCTTTACTGGGGCAAGTAAGTAGTCAAAGTACAACTTACGTGCAAAGTTCTTGGCATCTCCTGTATTCAAGAAGAATTTCTGCTGCTCTTCACTTGTCCTGCCAGCAAACTTATCAGCATAGTGACCCATCTGTGGGCACCCGTGGTCCGGACAGGGGAAGCACTTGTTCTAGTGAGATGGGACACACAGAGATGTAAGGCAAACCTGTCTCCTTGTAAGCAGTATACCAGGGGGAGCCAACACTCAATTTTCCTACAGCCCCAGCTTTCTCATTTGTAACAGGAAAGGGGTTGGGACACATGAATTCTAAGTTGCCTTCAATGCCAGCTGTGATGCACACATACTAGAAAGATGTGAGGAGCTTTAAAATGTACTGATACCTTTGGCCCAGGTTAAATCAAGTATACTTTCCATTTAGTGAGATGTGTTCAACGATTAGCAACCAGTTCTCTGGGACAAAAAGCCTTGATTCTAGTGTTTAGGTTTCTGGGGTAGAAATGCTTCCTCCCTGGAGTATTTAAAGTGACCAACATGATATTGTCATCCTCGATATCATGGATGTGAGCCGGTGTGATCATTTCTTCTATCGCTTCCTTCAACACCCCGGCATAGAGTGCAGCATTCGCCTTTTCCGCTGTCCGGATGATGGTTTGTTTTTGTTTTTGTTTTTGTTTTTGGTACCGGAAATTGACTGAGCCGTGTTCCTGGCCCTCGGATGATGGGTTCTTTGCTCACACATTTTTCTGGGCTTGCTCTGGCCCTGCCAGAAATGCACACTCGTGTTCCTATTATTATCTACCATTTTGTAAGCCAGATTCATGGGACTTGGGAGACATGCAAGATCATGGGGATGTAGATTTGCTCTTTAATTTCCCAGGGTTTTCTTCTTCCACATGACTCATCTGCCCTAGAATTTTTGCCGTCTCCTGCCTAAATTTTTTTTTTCACCTCCACTTCACTGGACCATGAACCCTGAGGGACAATGGAAAACACACAGGGAGAAAGCAGTGCAAATCACAAACACAGCAGGACCACAGCTCCATGGTGGTCGGTCCCCATGGCTTCTGGCAGGACAATAGCTTACAGACTCAAAGTCCCTGTAGGAAGTGCAAGGGTACGCAGTGAACCCCTTGGGGTTGAGGATGCTGTCCAAGTAATACTTGTAGCTTCTCAGATGATTGCAAGCCACAAAATCCCGAGTTCCTAGGGAAAATAAAGGAAGAAATCTGAGCAGGTGGTGGGAGATGGGCTGTGATAGCTTCTGTGCCATTGTCTCTAGGAGGGGTGGTTCCAAAGTGGAACTATATTTTAAAAAATTTAAGATAAGTGTAAAATCCACTCACAATAATTACAATGAACATAGAGGGTACTTGGTGTGTGCCTTGAATGTTCTGATCTCTTTGTATGCATGGACCAGGTAATCCTCTCCTTTCCCAGAGGTGGGTACCAGATTATCCCTATTTATAGGATTAGCTACAGATTGCACCCTCCCATTTACAGTTTACAGCTAGTAGGTTGGAGAGTTTAAGGAAACCTAAGCCCACATGAGCAACATTCTCATAGTATCTCGCTGCTCACAACATTGTTTGGCTCTTTGCAACTCATGCCAAGTGATGAATGTTACCACGCACCTTCCAGACCTGGCCTGAACTTACTTGGCCATTACTGATGGAGAGTTTGGGCTACTCTTATCCATGCAAACCCTCCTAAGGATGTAAAAGGTAAAATACATACATTATTATCCTTAATATTTGCTTTGAGGGCACCTAAGCTATTTTGATCAAATCCAGTAAAAAGCTGTGTTCCTCACATTTGATTAGCATGCTGTGGATTTTAACTTGTATGGTGCTATATGACAATTTTGGCTGGAGATTATGTCTGGTCATTGTCTTTTCCCTTTAGTATTGGAGATTTAGTCCAGGGCCTTGACACTGAGCTAAACTCCTAGCTCCATTTTTACTATTTAAATTTTAGGAGAGGGTCTTGCTATGTTGCCCAGGTTGGGCTCAAACCTATGATGTGCCCACCTCAGTCTCGCAGAGCGCTGTCTTTGTCCTTTTGACATCATTAGATGTTCAGTCAGGGATGAAGGATGCTCTTTATTCTTAGGCATACTTCATCTGTGATAACTAGACAGTTTCCACCCTTCTGCTACCGTGGTTACTCCTCATTTCTATTCAGTGTAGTGCAAATGGTTTTTCAATGGAAGCCATTGGGAATACTCTCATTTTGGCTACAGAACTGAAGCTGATTATATAAGTCTGAGCCATATTACTGAGTAGGAAGGTTATATCTGCAGAAAAATTCTCTGGAGTAGAGTCAGACTATATATTCCTATGGTATTTTCTTTCTCAATTGACTAGCTACCAGTTGATTGTTGGGGTTATAGCTTTAAGTAACAGCATTGCAATTCTTTGTTCCTTATGCAACCCAGGATATACAAGACAATATTCTAAGCAAATAGAAAATTAGTAGAATTGCAGTATAATAACTATTTAACCATATTTTTCAGAAATAAGGCCCAGAAATGAGAACTGTATAATTTTAAAGGAAGAGTGTGTTTTCATTAATAACATTTACTATGGCAAGTGCTGCTCACCCCAGGAAAGGGATGTCATCCCTGACACTGCCCCTACCCCTGCCCCCTACCATGCCTTTACCTGACCAGATGCCATCCAAGTCGATGATCTGTGACAAGGCATTCTTCTTACAACCTGGCATGTTCTGGCCTCCATTGGGGAAGAAGTCAAGGTGACCCCCCAGTTGGCTTGTTCCAAAACCTGAGGTGTTTGCAATAGCAATGAGGTTTTTGTGATGTAGATCTCTCCTGGATAAAACATAGTCCCACATGATCACAGCTAGAGCACTGTGGACTCACCCAAGAAGGGGATCAAGGGCGCTGCATCCGTGTGAATGACATCAACAAAGTCAGCATCTGAAGGATCGAGTCGAACCTCTTCAGGAGTGCCCTCGAAACTTGCTTCCACAGGATCCAACCCTAAAAGAGATGATCCATGGGAGATCAACAGACCTGTTGTACTGATGCCAAAAGGACTTAGTTGTACATTTGCTCTGTCATGCATTACCCAGTTTAAAGGGTGCTATACTCTGGAATGGTGCAGTGCTATGACCCTGGGTATCGAATAAGGGGGCATAAAGTCTCAATGGTGCTCATTACAAGAGGGTTCTGGTGGCATGGATACAGGGGGAAGATGAGCAAAGAAATTCAGATTTTATTTGAGCAAGGATTTCTTTCCATTTCAGTCTTTCATTTACTTGTATATCTTCCCCAGTCACATTTCTCTTTCTCTTATCATTTGAAGAACACAGATTCTTGGGCTAGGTCATTTGGCTCCTCATCCCTATTCAGCTACTTTCTGAAGAAACTGCCTGATCTTGAACAAGACACTCAATCTTTTTGTGCCTCAGGTTGCCCATTTTACAAAGGGAGTAAATAATACTATCTACTTTACATAGTCATTGTAGATGAAATAAGCTAATATGTAGCATTTAGTACAGTACCTACCATAGAGTCATGCTGTTTAAGTAAAATATTACTTATTGTAATAATATTGTAAGTAAAAATTATTACTTTGACCATATTTCCTTCTTGGCCAGAATCCTGGATTGCTTGATACTTTTTAGATCTGATCAGAGCAGCTAAAAAGATATGCGCTAAACATAGTAATCTACTGATAATAGAAGGGAGATTTCTTATACAGGCAGAGTTGCTTGAGCCAAAGAGCAGCCAGTACAGGCCTGAATCTCACTCAATTCCACCACCAACCAGTTGTGAGACCTTGGACAAATTACTTGCTTCCCTGAGCCTGTTTCTTCAGGTCTGACAATTAAGTAAGAAATAGGAGACATTTTGTACTCTCTTTGTGATAATCAGGCATAATCTATGCTTATTATAATAACTATAACAGCATTAGTATATTATATAGGAATATTTGGCTATTGTTTTTGTAATAACTCAAAGGCTTTGCTTAGTTTAAATTAGCTGTGGCAGAGATGGTAGCTAGGAAAGTAAGAAACATAATTTTCAGCTTCTATGCTGTCTTTGATTTCAGAGATGGAGGAAAGCAATGCAGGATAGGCCCTTTTAAAGCTACATATTTCCACGCTCTTACTAGCTTTACCGTGCCTTTTCCTGGGTGCTCGTGCTGCTGAGTGCTGCTGACATACATCACCACAAAACTTGGACCCAGAGAGGAGGGACCAGGACAAAGGCAGAAGCAGCAAAGGAGAATTGAGCCAGCACCTTCCTTGCCTCAGTGATGCTCATGTGCTCCTTTGGGGCTAAGATGATCTGTACAGGCTGCACCCAGCCCTGCTACAGCCAGCGGGGAACGGTCCTCTACAGGGCAGCTCTAAGCTGGGCTGCAGGTTGTGACCACATTCTGGCTTACTGCGAACAAGACCTGGGGCCTTACCAGTAATCCTGCCCAGGCCTGGAGTCCTGCTCCCTGCCATTCCAGCCACGTGGGCTCCCAGGCTGTGGCCAATGAGGTGGACTTTGGAAGGGGAGTAGCTATAGTTTGTCTGGAAAGGAAAAACCACATTTTCAGGACACTGTTGTGCTCTGATTTTCCTAACATGGTATCCCTCCTCTGCTGGAAGCCCTCCACACCCCCACACAAGGACCAAGCCCTAAGTCATTACAAGAGCTTCAGAGCTTTTGATACTAAAGACCTATTTTTTCTAGACTCCTCTCTAGCCAAACCCTTCAAATGCAGCTGATTTTTTTCACCCCTGGGCCTTGTTTGTACCCATCCTGTCAATCATCTAACATGATAAGAGCCTATCTTCAGCTTTCCACTTACATGTCTCTTCTTGGGGAGACTTCCGTGATACCCCCAACACACAGACACACACACACACCCCAGTCGGGATTAGCCACCCACCATGTGCTTCCACAAAGCCTGGACTCTCCCCATCACTACCCTCCAATAATGACACTCGGTTGTCGATGCAAGTCTTCCCTGCAAACCCACAAGGGCCTGGGACCTCATCCATCCCTTTCACCTCCCTCAGACTCCCGACGTCCAGCTCCAAAATACTGCCTCAACAAAGCAAGTAAAGCTATGAGCTCTTTGCACATGTTAGTCCCAGAGATAGTCACACAAATGCACCTCATTTATTGATATATATGCCGTGTGTACAAAACCAGGGGTTTTGATTCTGCAGGGGTGTGGAAATAGTTGGAACCAACTGGTTTTTTTGTAAGCCCTTTAGCTATAAGACAGAAGTGACTGGGACCTTTACCTGGCATAGAAAATAGCCTCAAGGAATTATTAAGTGAACTGCAAGAAAGACTTAAAGAATTAACTAAAAGGAAAAAAGGAAGAAACAACTGAAATGATTACGGCAGAGAAAATCCTCCAACATCAGTAGGACCCACATTCACAGCCCAGCACAGTGGGGATATGCCAATCGCCCATCCTTCCCCTGGGCTGTTTGGCTTTGGTTGGCAATACCTTGTTTTACATCAAATAGAGCCCACAGTGTTGTGAGTGGTTCTCGGGGCTGAATGGTCTGGGCCCCAAAGACGACTTCCCTATTCACCTGCTCTGTGATTTTGTTTTTTAAAGCAAACTGGGTAACCTTCCTGGGCCTCAGTTTCCTTTTCTATAGATAGAAGATAATATAAAAGCTCCCCACCTGTTAAGCATATGAGTTATTAGTTTTTCTTCCCCTAGTGCATCACTAAGGTGACCTTAAGAGTTCTGGATGTGAGAGCTGAAATCCCCCTTCTTTGTGTTTCTCCTTTCATGTGTCACTCTCAGATTGCCCCAGCAACTGACTCACCAAGAGGATGTTGAGCATCTGGGCCACCTGGGCGCCCACCACCCGCATGTTGTTGGCAGCCTGCGTGTAGGTGGTTTGCGAGCCCTTCCTCCAGTCCACGCAGACGCAGTTCACCTCCTCCACCTCAAACATGGCCTGGGGTTGGGAAGATACTGGGTGTTATGGCAGCACATGGGAAACCCCTTCCCATTAGCGCACAGAAATGGCCACTTCTCCCTTCTAGCTGAGCACTCGGGTGATCTAGACTCTATTAGGGAACCCTGGTATCCCATGGGTGTTACCCTTGCAAAGGCTGCAAGAAGAGTGCATCCATTCTCTGTCTAGCTCGAAGATTAATTGAAAGCTGGCTACTCTCTGGTTCTTTCAACCAAAGTTGATAAGATTGCTCAGGCGTGCACAAACAGTTGTGTCATTCAGACAAACACGATCCAATAGGGAAAACCTCAAGTGCAGTCTTGCTGGTGCCTGTGTCTGCACGGCCTTGTGAATTTGACCCCGGAGTGTCCCTTGGGCTTCTTGGTGACACTCCTGCCTGCTGTGCATTTCCTAAACTTTAAAGTGGGAAAGACGCTTCCCAACTTTATAGTCAGGATGATGAAATATTTCATGGAAGAAATACACATTGCGGATATCTAAAAAATCAAATTGCATCAATTTAAAAGAGATTGAAGAATTCTGATTGAAAAATTTCTTCCTGGATGTAAATAACCTGAAATATCCTTAGTTCTTCCAGACAGTCCATGGTACCATGTTGGTATTGCAAATTTAAAAACTACTTGAAGCTTTTCACATATATGAGAACTAATATGTATGATCACTTACACAGAGATACTGACATGGTGGGTTTTTTTTTTTTTTCTTTCCTTTTTTAGCAGAGTCTCACTATGTAGTTCAGCCTGCCCTTGAACTTTTATGTGGCCCAGACTGGCTCGGGACTCATGGTAATCCTCCTGCCTCAGCCTCCTGAGTGCTGTGATTATAGGAGTGTGCCACCACCTCCAGCGACTGACAGGATTTTTTTTCCTCTGACTTTTATTTTAAAGCAGCCCTGCAGAATGCCTTAAACACCTGGAGAATTTGGGATATATACTGTACCAATCAGATGTTTATTAATGGTAGGACAAGAGACGTGCCAAGAGCTAAATGCCTGGGAAACCAAAACCAAATACAGAAAGATTAATTTTTGAGGTTTGTAACATACTGTTGACATTATCACTGCTGTTATTAGTGTACATGTGGAAGGCAGGCTGTTGTTATTAATGTAGGTGTAAATGGTGACACAAAAATAGATTGAATCAGTGCACACAGAAAGAAAGGAGAGTGGTGTATTGCAGGTGTGTGCATGTGTGTGTGTGTGTGTGTGCCCATGCACACATGTGCACAGATGTCCACTGTGCACTTGTGTTACTATGTGCATATGTGCATGCAGCTGTGTGCACAGCTATGTGTTCTGCCACCATAACTGTTGCGCTTAGTTATGGTGTTATATCCCATGCAATGTTATGTCCCATGCAATTGTTGCACTTTCTATTCTTCTACTTGTGTCATCCAGTCAAATTTAGTTCTCCGTATTTCAAATACGGAGCCTACAGGAACTCGTCTTAGATTCTCAAGTGTAGGAAAGATGTAGGCAAAAAGAGGGTGATCCCTCATTTGCAGAAATACAAAGGACCCTCACTGAGAACACAAGAGGAAACATGGCATCCTAATTTAACCAGTAGTGAGGTAGTGGGAATATTTGTTTATATAGCTAATGCTGCTGATTCTAGATGCACATGTAATCCCGAAACATGGAAAAGAATTTTCATAGGATCTAGGGTAGCAATTTGTTGTTGTCAGACTCACGTACTATGATCACATGAAATGAGGCGGGGACAGGGAGGGGAAGTGACTGCAGCCAGGATAGCTGCAGGGGTCAGAACACATGTCTGTCACCCAGCTCCTACCTTGCACATGTCTGTCACCCAGCTCTCATCTCCCTTGTCTATGAAGCCGTGGATGATGAACCGGGTCTTCCTGGTTGTTTGAAAATTTGATGCCTCAATTGTTGATGGATCAGAAAGGTGGAGAATCTGTGAAAATGCAGAGTGCCACATATTTTTGTAACCCAACCCACAAGTCCGTCTCTCCCCTCCCCACCTCTGCGTGTCCCAATGCCTAGGCCTTTCCTAGTTTAGGACAAAACCACCAATATCCCCTTTTCTGTTCTGTCTCTGGGTCAGTATCGCCTGCCACTCCTGGGCCTGGGCTGTCGCTCACAGGCTTACCTTCCCAACTGGTCCTTTTAGATAGTAAATCCTTTGCCCCAGCCAGAGCCACACAACCAGCTACAAGTTCCAGCAGCTATGAGCCATTCACACATCCCCGCCAATACTTGCAGAACATCTAAGTTGCCCCAGTCTGGCAAGGCCAGGGGAGCAGCTGGAGGGATGGGATAGGGGCCGGGTCTGGTGGAAAAGCATAGCACATATAGGGAACTCACGGTCTGTGGTGACCTAGCCCTATGGACAGTCTCACCTGAAAATTGTCTGGGTTTTCATTGGTGTAGAGCAAGAAGTGAGTGTCGATTTTCTCAGGGGTCCAGGGGAGAATTTTCAGTGGCCTGACTGCAGTCCCAGCCCAGGGCTCAGCGTCAGAAAAGCACCCAAGGTCACCATAGCAAACTTCTTTCCCTAAAGACAAAGGATGGATCTTGTCAAGGAATATCTCCTGAGCTGACTTCCTCTCACTGCCCTAGAAAAATCTGCAGACAAAGGATGCACCATGTCTGCCCCTCTTCTTGTCCTTAATACTCGCTGACTTGCCTGACCCAGTCCCATGGAATTCCACCAAGACGCTAAAGTTGCCTTCACTTAGAACTGCCACCAAAAAGGTGAATGTTCTGAGCTCCCCACAAGCTCTTTTGATATCGTTATTTGACTAATGCCATAATGGGCACTTCTAAGTAAATACCTTAACCAAGGCAGGTGTTTAATGCCGTTCCTAGAAAATTCTGGCCTCAGTTCCTCTAGAGAATGAAAGCCTGGGGTTGTTGGCACTGACCCTCTAAAGTAAGTCCCGTTCAACCCTTCCAGGCTGAGTGTCAGTCCCACCCTCCTTTGCCTGGAAGTGGGGGCTGTGAGGAGCTGCCAGAAGCCCTACCGTGGCTAGAGCTTTCTTTGGCCAGCGCCCAGAGCTTGGTTCACATACTTCTTGGGGAGCAGGTATGGTGTTTCTTACCTCGGGCTGCTCCCAGCAGTAGAAGTGTGGTTGTCCAGAAGAGCAGCATCTACAATAAATTAAAGCATTCTCAACCTCACAGAGTGTTTCCAGATTAGTGAGCAGAGATGCTCAAATTCTGGATGGTTTGCGCTGCCCCTACTTCTCAGCTGGTGGCAAACGGAATGGAGAAGTGGCTTACCTTGTCTGAGGATCCAGGCACTTCCTCCTATTGGGTCCCTCGACATTTTTTTTTATATTCTAGCCTTATCATTTTGACACTATTTTAAGAAAGCAGTGAGTGATGATAGCACATGTTATGTGTACTTAATGTTTTAATCTGTACAAATACACAAAATAAGATTAGTAATGGTGGGCAAATCTTCCCGCAAGTCTGAGAAGATGAAAGAATGCTTGGTTAAAAGGGGGAGAAAGGTCACTGACTTTGCACGTACGCATCCATGCAAGTACTTGGAAGCTCAGTGAGTCCTACTTCTCTGTTTCCTGTTTCATCACCAAATACTGTAGTTTCTCCATAAAGACACAGTAGCACACCTAAGAATGGAAGGTAGTTTTCATTCATATTTGATGGAAATGTCCTAACTGGATGAAAGTAAAGGGAAGCATCTGATCAAGAACAATCTTCTCTCGGCAGGACACATCTGTAATCCCAGCTATACTGGAGCTTGGGGAAGGAGGATCACAAGTTTGAGGCCAGCCTGAGCAACTTAGTGAGCTCCAGTCTGAAAATAAAAATAGAAAGAGCTGAGGCTGTAGCTCAATGGCACGGTGCCACTGGGTTCTATTCCCAGTACCACAAAAACAAAACAAAAGCAAACATAAGTAAATAAATAAATAAATAAGTAGATTTCTCTCTCTTTCTCCACTCTTTGTCTGCTGCTGGTGGACTAACAATACTAGGGACATGAGCACTGGGGATACACAGTGAGCTCTCACAATAGCCTCTCCCATGGTCACCCCTTCTTACCAGGTCAGATATCTGTTACTATGCAATGAGCCAATGTGAAACATAATGGTTTAAGACAACAACAGTGATCATACTATCTCAATAGAATTGGCAGAGTTGGTTTCAGGAGCCCCTGAAGCACCCATCAATAATCCACAACACCACCATTGAATGTCCCAGACAGCACACCTACCAGATAGACTAGGCTCTGAGGACGTCATGATTTACCTACAGATCAGCACACCTGTGAGCAGGTGCCCAGTTCACATGGGAGAGATAAGCCTTCCCAGAGCAAACATGCGGGTCCCCCTCTACCTCCAAGGGAAACATGCCCCACCATCAAATTTCACCCTCTTGAATAACCAAATCCTAGGGTACAGGCCTCAGGGCCCTCCTGCTTAGAACATGTAAAGGACTTCCCTGGACTATTGAAGAATAGTGACTGACAGTCTCTGAGGCCTAGCAAGTATAATCAGAGGTCTAAGCACTTTATGTACATTACTTAATTTAAAATTGACAGCAAGCATACCAGCAATCATTGGCCTCCCTTTACAGACATGAAAACTGAGGCAAAAAGAGAGGGACAAACTGCCTACAACAGGGTTTCCTAGCCCCTGGACTAATGGGTCCATGGCTTGTTAGGAGCAGACTGCAGAGCAGGAGGTGAGTGGAGGACCAGTGAGCAAAACTTCATCTGTATTTACAGCTTCTCCTCATCACTTGAATTAATATCTGAGCTCTGCTTCCTGCCCGATCAGCAGCAGCATTAGATTCTCACAGAAGCAGAAACCTCCTGTAAACTGTGTACGTGAGGGATCAAGTTTTCAGGTTTGCCCTCCTTATGACAATCTAACATCTGATGGTCTGAGGTGGAGCTGAGGCTGTGCTGTTAGTGCTAGGGAGTGACTGCAAATATAGATTAACTTTAGCAGAGAAGTTTGACTACATGGAGACCATAATCAATTGCTTGCAGACTCATACCAAAATCCTATCAGTGAGTGACACTTCAGTTGCAGCTAGTGGCAGGCTTCATAGTGGAAAACCAACAACAACAAAACAACAAATATTGTACTTCATTGTACAGCTCCATCGGGTGGCCAGAGTTAAGTCAGAATCTGACACTTGGTCTGTGTGTGGCCCACTCAGTATTTTACTTACTGCTTCTAACTGTGTCTCTTTCCTCCACCGCCTGTCACAGTCTTTATACACTCACAAGCTAACCCTACCAAAAGTGAGTAAAAATAAACGTCACCAGAGAACTTCTCTGAAAAGGAAAATCTCAAAAATGAGAGAAGGTTGCTAACAAAAAGAAAGCTGCATCCAAAAGAAAATACCAAGAGTTTTATTTAAATTGTGGGTTTATTACACAGGTAACTCATGTTCTCCAGTTTCACTCTGTATAATATGCAGTTACTGGCTACCTAATGAAGCCACAACACTCCTTTGCCATATGGAGACCAAGCACCTTGTATTACAAGACAAGTCTTTGGAGTCTTTAAACAATATGAACACAAAGAACAGAAGCAGTTCTTGAAGGCCACTGCTTCATCAATTGTATCTGTATTCAGTGCATTATTCTTAGTGCTAACTGCATTGCTAAAGCTAAGAAGCTCTTTACTGTTGGTGAAAAGTTGATCCTGCTCAATTCTAAGGACGTTTGCTGTGAACTTTTAGGAGCAGCTGTATTTCAAAAGGTGACAGTGTTCCTCTTTTGCTTAGCCCCATAACTACATGAGCTGATCAAATAGCAGAGGATATTAAGGTACAGTTGTTTGAGAGGATTAATGAGTCACCATATTATGCAATCCAGATTGATCAGTCTACTGATGTTGTCAGCTATGTAGTGATGGTTGCTTCTGGGCAATGTACTTTTCAGGAGGATGCACATGAAGATATGTTGCCTTATTATCTCTAATATCATTTCTGCAGAACTGTTCAAGTCTTCTAATGATTACAGATCAAGAAAACGGAATTGTTTATTTTTTGTCCGGACATGCACAGATAATATGGTGACTCATTAATCCTCTTAAACAACTGTATCTTAATATCCTCTGCTATTTGATCAGCTCATGTAGTTATGGTGCTAACCAAAACAGGAACATTGTCACCTTTTGAAATACAGCTTCTCCTCAAAGTTCACAACAAACGTCCTTGGAAGCGAGCAGGGTCAACTCTTCACCAATAGTAAAGAGCTTCTTAGCGGTAGCAATGCAGTTATCACTAAGAACCATCAAATGAGAACAGATACAATTGATGAAGCAGTGGCCTTCAATAATTGCTTTTGTTTTTTGTGTTCATATTTTTTAAAGACTCCAAAGACTTGCCTTTTAATACAGTGTGCTTGATCTCTATATGGCAAAGGGGTATTGTGGCTTCATTAGGTAGCCAGATAGATCAGCTGCCATGCCTAGAAGGCTTTCTGGTTTTACTACTGGGGTCAGGGAGGTTGCTTCTGAATGACAGTGAATGCATTGTGTCATTTCCTAGAAAAATACTGGCTAGCCACAAAATGTCACTTGAAATTAACATTTTCCAGGGCATGATTAAAATTATAACCACATTAAAATGCATGCCATTAGCTCAAGTCTGTTCATACAACTCTGAGAGGAAATGGACACAGAGCACACACGTCTTCTCTTAGGAACAGAAGTGAGCTGGTTTTCTAAAGGTCGATTCCTGGCCAGAGTTTTTGAGTTACAAGAACTGCTGCACAGATTTCTTTTAGAAAAACAGTCATCACTAGCAGCACACTGCAGTGACACAGAATGAGTCCCCAAAACTTGCTTACTTGTGTGACATATTTAGTCTACTCACTGAAGTCAGTTTGTCACTTCAGGGGAGAAAGAGAATTGTGTTCAAGTTGGCAGGTAAAGGGCTGCACTGAAAGCCCAAATGGAATTTTGGGGATGATGAGTGAATGGGGATCTTAACGTTTCAACCATGAACACCGATTTCAAAAGAGACAGAACCAGGGTCTTCTTTCTCCCCGCTGGTACATAATGACCTCTCTCAGCCTTTAAAAGAATTTTAGTATAAGATCCATGTGCTGGGATCTTATACTCAAAGGGAAGGAATAGATCCTCTACCCACTTGTGACTTAGCCAAGTGAATCAATTTTGTCCATGTTAGAAGATCAACTGCTTGAGATTGCAAATGGTGGTGACAATACAAGTATGTTCAAGACAAGTTCAAATCTCCATATGTTCTACATTAAATCAAGGTGAATATCCTGAGATTGCCACAAGAGCATTGAAAATGCTGCCTCCATTTCCAACATCCTGTCTTTGTGAAGCAGGATTTTATATAGTTACAGCAACCAAAATAAGATTATGAAATAGACTGAGATAAGCAACACAGTTCAGGTATAACGGTCTCCCATCACCCCCAGATGGGATCAGCTAGTCAGAACTCTCACTGATTCTATGTTATGATGCGTTGTGTAGTTATTTCATTACATAGTATAGTGTAATGATAATAGAACTAAAGTGCACAATAACTATAATGTGTTGGAATCATCCTGAAACACCCTTTCACTCGCTGTCTTCCACAGATCCAGTCCCTGGTGCCAAAAGGATTGGGGACCACTGGTTTGCAAAGTCACACAACCAGTGGGTGAAAAGATGGGATTTGAATCCAGGATATATGGACTATAAAGAGGAACTGATAGATTTTCAACAACTTATTATGCTGAGCAAGTAATCAATAAGATTTGTTCAGTATCAACTAGACAGACTAGTGGAGATACTTACGTTGAATAATTCAAAGTAGAAAATAGATTTTCCCTAAACTCATTGGGCCCTAGCCATTTGGGTGACTTGTTTAGTGTGAAGGTTTAAGCCTTGGAAGTCAGTACACATTGTCTGGAAAAGGGCTAGAGTCTTTTATAATTACTTGGTGAAGTCAGAGGCATTTTTAGTTTTCTCTAACATTGCAATGCTTGGTGCAGGAAAAGACTTGTAAGGATGTAATGACAGATAAACAGGTAAATTGGTTCATAGGAGATGTCTTACAGCCTCTCTCCTTCTTTGTTTTTTTTTTTTGTTTTGTTTTTTGTTTTGTTTTTATTAACAAACAGACATCCATTTGCAAAATAGCATAAGAGC